TGACTGGGAAACCTTTACTTTTACCTTTATGGTAGGCAAACATTTAAAAATATAAACAGTAGAAAGCTACACTGTATTCAACATTCAGTAGTGTAAGCTCTCTTAAAGAAATTAAAAGTAATTTTAAAGATAGAGCTTGAGTATAAAATTACGTTTGATAGTACGATAGTGAGTTGAAAAAAACTCTCCAGAGCTACATGGGAAGTGAATAAGATTTCAAGTAGCCAATAAAACTGATGTTTTGGAGGCCTGGGGCAGGGGTGGGGAACCTTGGCTCTTTTATGATTTGTGGATTTCAACTCCCAGAATTCCTGAGCTAGCCATGTTGGTTCAGGAATTCTGGGAGTTGAAGTCCACAAGACATAAAAGAGCCAAGGTTCCTCACCCCTGGCCTGGGGAATCCTCCAGCTCATATCTAAAAAGACTAGAATAAATTGTATTAAATAAATACAGTTTCTTAAATGCTGAAACGGTAAAATTTAGGGGTCATTGTATATATGATGCTAGCTGAAGAGTGTATGTGAAAAGTAGCAGCTGTTAACTGGCTTGGCAAAGTTTCACTGAGTTGTCTTTGGGGATAAACTCATGTTGTTTCCTGTGGAGATGCTTAGTGCTATCTCCTGCCTGTCAATTCAGCTCCTTCAAATGGTTTACCTGACTGATAATTGCTTTTACTGAATGAAGCCTTTAGATTAGCTGGTATTGACTGAATCGTATGTAAGCCTACCAGCCATCAGAAAAGTCTGGATTGGTTGGGATTTTGAACTCCCCAAGTATATGCTGAGTTTGTTGGGGCCAATAACTAAAAATATGCAAAGTAATTTGCTCTGTTTTTTGGATCTTGAGATTTGGTAATTCATTGTTGAGATATCTGTAAAATCTGTTGCATTATCATGTCTAATGAATCATTGCTAATGAATCACGTTTTGGCTAGTAAGAAATCAAGCTTAGTAAATTCTGTGAGCATATTCATAAATAACATGTTCATAATTAATTACTACTAATAATTGATATGTAGGGAAGGGTCTTGTGGGGACAAATCCTCTAGTATCTGTTTGCTAAGCAATCCTCTCTCTCTTATTATATTAAACCAGTGCTTCTAGCATTGGTACAGACCTAAGTAAAGTGGAGATTACTTGATTGAATGGTTGAGAATTGCTAAATTAATGGCAAACATGCTCAAACCAGGGCTGGCCTTTATGAGGTTGCCTGGTCAACTAATTTCTAACCTCCCTATATTCAAAACCTTTGATTTATTTGCAGAAATGATGAAAGTCATTGACTGACAAATAAGGAGATCCTTATTTACTCTTTAAAACCACTATCGTTTTCCTCCACAAGCCATAAGTGAACCAACCTAATGTTTTGGCCTCTCCCAACTAAATTAATTTTCCCAGTTCAAAGAGGATCCTATTCCAAGCCTCGTATTTGGAGCCCAACTTCTCATCCTCAAAAAAACCAGACAAATATACAGACCAATTCAGCTAAACTCAATGTTTTTAAAGAAGGAAAGCAAACAACCCAACTATTAATTAAATACCAAACTCTTATGAAGTCAACTGAGAGGGAAGATCTAAAATGAAGGGCTTACACTACTTACGTCCATTTACTTTGCTTATTCTCCAAATAGGAGAATTTCTTGAAGAATGTTTAATAGCTCCATTGAGAATTGTAGTTGCTCATACCCACCTGAAAGCAAGGAATCTTGCCTGCTAGTCTAATAGGCCATGGCTGCTTTTGAACTCTTGAGTTCCTCCCTCATAAGTAGGCATTACGTCCATTTTCCTTTTGTGCCTTCACTGGGAATTCCCCTATGGCAGTGGTCCCCAAGCTTTCCAGCTTGATGGCCCGGAGGTGGGGAAGGGATGGCAAGCATACATAGCTTCATTTGCACACATAAATAGAGCTTTGAGCATGAGCGTGCATGCGCACCACTCACACAAGTCAAGCTGCACCTGCATGCTCACCCGCCACTTGTGTGGCTCAGTTCCGAATGGGCTGCGACCCACTAGTGGGCCATGGCCTGGGGGGTGGGGACTCCTATACTATAGTACCCAGCCTTGACTTTGGAAGTACTGCGTTAACTTTCTTGTGCAAGAAACAGAATACTCTCCTTCCTATGTGCATTGTTGTCAGGCACACAAAATTTGGTCGGAGAACGATTGTTACTGTTGCATTTGTGTATGATGTCTAACCAAAGTACTTGCTAAAAGAGGAGTGGATGTGCATTTATACATAAATACATGCATGTAAATGAGCCACTCTATTTTCCAACCATTTTTAGAAAATAAATTATCCATTTTAGCAATCAGTACTGGGTTAATATATCAGCCGTAAATCATCTCACACTGAATTTTCTAAATAAAATATTTGGTGTGGATTGAAATTCCCGTTACAACATATCAATCTTTTTATCTACACTTTGCATCCCTTTATAGGGTCTTTAGCTTATAGATGCTAAAGTCTGAGTCATATTTCACCAACAGTTTATTGGATGACCATGTTCTGATCTGTAATTTAGTTTGGGATATGCAAGTCAGGTTAGTGGAAGGCTTTTTTTTCTTTGGTAGTGACAAACCAAACAAAATTCTTCAAGATATCTGCTACTTATTTATCTGACTTTTCTACCTTTTAGTTCTGTGTAAAGTATTTATATCAACTGTTTTGATTTTGTTGGTCACTAGTATTACTTTTAATCTTGAGCAGCTCCCGAGTTCAGCTAATACATAAGAGGAGAATGGCAGCGCAAGTTTGCCCAGGTCAAAGGAACTTGCAGTGTATCCATATTGATACTACTCTACATATCTTTTTATTTGAGTGTGGCCATTTATTATGGTAAATCTTCATTTTTCACCACTTTTATGGGGGGGATGAGAAGATGCAACTTTAGTGTGCCTTTTTTCTTAATTTATGCAAGACAATTTACACGCCACCCTTATTCTTTGGAGCAACATACAACCAGATTGAAAGCAAATTAACAGGTTTGTTGCATGCAACAAGTCAGTCAACAATAAGTCTAATAATGTTATATAAAACCAAAGAGATGAGAGATAAATCCAATTAGATCACAGAG